AATGAAAAATATAATTAATGCGCAAAAAGTCAGTCAAGGTAGAAATGAAATAAAGTTCAGTCTAAAATGAATTTGACTCTTAAATAATCAATAATTGTGAAACATACATCACTATAAATTCATTTTCTTAGTAGTTTAAATGGTTCCAATATACCTTGTTTCCGCCTTGATCTACATATCTAGCTGTGTTGTTATAAACCCTCAGCATGGGAAGTAAACCATTAGAGGTCCCGTTGGTCTGAAATATGAGGCATTCAACAATAAGCACTACTTATTTTAAGCATATATAGACAAATACTTTTAATTTCTAATGTCATTATCTTTTTCATAAATTTTCTTTTAAAGATTTTTGTTTCCATAACCATTTTATGAACATGCATTACAGTTCAAAGATTCTCAAGTGTGTGCTTTTTTAGATATTATCCAGGTTCATGGTTCTCCAACATACCCCAGCTATGTAGCTCCCTGTAGATCTGATACAGTGAACATTGAGTCCGATGCCCCCCGCTGATTTGGAAATCAGGGCGCACTGCTTTAATGTGTCGTAAATTCCCTCTATACTGTCTGAGTGCATTGTTAGCAAGAAACAGCTGGAAATTTTACAGGTAATTGTGTAAATGTCAAATATACAAAACAAGAGGCCCAAAGGCCTTATAGGTCACCTGAGTATCATGTAACAACTTTCCAGCGATTGTATTTGGTTCGTGTTTTAATCCAAAAGCCATGAAATTCACAAATTTTGAAAGAGGCACCATTGCTTATCAAAGGGCAGATTTCAAAGCATTAATTTATTTTTAGTCAAAGTACCCCCCTGGTACCCCTGACCCAGCGGCCCTGAAATCATCTATTTTGAAAGAGGCCCCTTTCTTCATTATAAGGCCAGCATTTTTTTATGTTTAGGTTTAGTTATGAACATGAGAATAAAAAAGTCCCGAAGAAGAAGGAAATAAAATTTTTTTTTGATAAATCAATTATTAACATTTGTACATTCTTTTTTTATCATATGCTATTCTAATAGGCTCCTTACCACTGGACACATAATGCTTACAAATAGGAAAGTAGAACATTTAATTGCTTATTTCATTATCTGCCAGTTTGGGCCAGTTATATAAATTTTGTGATGTTGGTCAAAATATATTTTAAAAAATTAATTTTTAAAAGTCTTTCAATTTATCTTCATTTTTTTAATATGTGTTAGGTGAATGTGTAGACATTGTTCTAAAATTTACTTGATGCCTAAAACTATAATTCCTATCATAAAACAGACAGGGAGTATTGGGGATAGGGTCAACATTTTTTCAATTTAGTGTAAAATAATTTTTCTGGCTGATACAAATGATACTACATGCCTATATATATATATGTATATTCTTGCCTTTTAATAGTTGAATTTTTTTTTATTTCTTCAGGTTATTGTTTATTTCTTCCTCAAATGGACTTCACTTCTCCCATAGTTTTATTCATTACATCTGATGCATAAGTAAACCTTTTCTGAAGAATGATGCTTAGACTGTAAGCTATAACATAGATCTAAACAATGTCGCTGGCAATATGCAATAACTACCACGGGCAGTTTAACACCTGGGGAAGGAAAACAATTTACAGATACTTTTGAAACGAAAACATAATTATCTCACCAGCAAATCATTGTGCAACAAAGTCGTCAGCATTTTATTTGTCCTTTGAACGGGTGAAACGTTTTGAATGGCACTCATATCGATGAATTTTACACTAAACCATGCTATCTTCTCAGATCTAGCTTTATTTACCCGCCGTTTTTCATCTTAAAACCGGAAGTGCGTGTTCGTAAATCTGAAATCTCGATCCCGACTCAAATTTGACATCGGAAAGAAAAAAATTGTTTTATTTTTTCCTGAAAATTGAAAACCTTGAGCGGAGAGTTTGTAAAACTGAAAATAAAATAATTCCTCGCCTTAAATATGTAATTAGATCATTAGCATATTAACCAGGAGCAAAGGATAAGGCGACCATAATTTGATTTTTAGTTTTACGGATTTTTTTTCAAGAAAGGTCAAGTCGGAGGACGAAAAAAAAAAAAAAAAAAAAAAAAGACAAAAGACACATTTATTATTTATTGATACATAATTTTTGTGACGTTACACAACTGTCATGTTACGCGGCGTTTTTTAATTTTTTTTGCACATCTAGTAGCCGGTTTTTTGCCAATGGAAATGCAGGTTTGACAGATTGGTCTAACTATCCCATATTCTTCCTCTAGTTGCTGAATTTCCATATTCCTGGTGATCTCCGTGTCCCCACAATAGAAACAAATAGTGTCGAAAATCTGTGATTTCCCTGAAGTGTTATAATAAATTATCAAAAGAAAAATTGTGTCTTTTTTTTTCTTTTTTGTTGAATAAAACATTAAAGTTTTGTGAAAAAATTGCTTTTAATACCAGAGTAATATGTTGCTTCAATAGGTGACCCACAATGCAACGACTCTTTTACAATGATTTTGTCTTGAAGATCCCCTCCTGGGAATAAGGTACTACCACACACATAGAGAAGTTCTTCTTGTACTCTCAGCACTGCTCGTTGTTCTCTGCTCTCAAGACGACACTTGCTGTATACTACCCTCCTCTTACCACACTCCTGACATATGACGAATCCTCGTACTTTCTCTGAAATTTTGAATTTCACAATGTATTCTTGTCCTCACTATTAAAATGATTTCAAAATGTAAAAGAATTGTTATAAAAGATATTAATTTCATACATATTAGATGTCAGAACTGTGAGAAAGACTTGTATAAAAATGTGTATATCACACAGGACAAAGGGAAAAAGTAGAAGATACCATCACAAGTGCCATATATTAGCCTTTAGCCATATATCGTATTAAATGTTAGCATGGAGGTACATGTATTTTCCAGAACCACAGAGAAGCAGAGTGAAGTCTATAATACTGAGCTACAAACACACACACTGAAGACTTACCATCATGGAATCTGTTATTAAAATGTCATAAAAAAAAACTTTATCAAAATTTAAAAGAAACTAGACACATATCAAAGTAGCTTTTATTAAATCATTTTGCCAAATTAAATATATCTGATGTTGTAACACCATTCAATTTTCCAATACAGATAAATCCATCAAATTTGCCACTGTTTTTTCTTTCACATGCTCTGAAATCAAATGTAATCTTATAATTCAAATAAAACAAAAACTTTTACCTGATACCAAAATTGATTTGAATTTCTTGTCCCTGTCTGTAGCTTGTGGCTGAAACTGCCTGCTTGGTCTATCTCCGTCATCTGTTTCAGTTCCATAGAGATCTTCAAATGTCTTGTATGCTCCATTACTTATGACTGGATCCGGCATAAAATGTAGCTCCTTGAAGAGCTCGTCAGGAAGACGAGGAGGACAGAGTCTGCAGTACCAACAGTCCCCTGCATCACTACTGCACTTCTTAATCTAAGAATTCAATTCACATTTGTAAAATCTCTAAATTTGGTTAATAAATTGCATAATAGGTCTCTATTTTTATGTTTAATAGCAAAACAAAAAATACCTGGAAGCTGTAGTGTCTCTTTCTGCAATGCTTTTTGACAAAGTCGAAAAGGTGGGGGTATTTTGAGAATTCCTTAATTTCTCTAGCTTTATCAGAATCCATGTTTCCATCCAAAACTTTAATCATATAAAGCAGCTGAGATATTTCATCTTCATCACATGCATCATGTACGAAAATCTGTCCATGTGTTTTCTTTAGTCGGTTAAATATTTTCTTTACAGTTTCAATGGTAGCTTTTACTGATTCTTTTAAGGCAGATTTAAAATTTTCTTTCTTGCAATTTCTTATGCACTTCATTGACGACATTGACTTCATCTGGGACTCGTATCCAGTTTCCATTTCTGCACGTGATAAGGAAACGTTTTGAAGACCTAGGTTCAAAAGAGACATGGATCGCTCCGCAGGATTGTTGTAACTTTGATGTGTTGCAGTTCTGCAGGCAACGAAAATGTCTAAATCTAATGAAATGAATTCCAAAATTGATGCCAGTGGCACAGACGTGTAAGTTGTTCTATGATCTGGGCCTCCGTCTGTATAACGAAGTAGTATCGGACGATTAGAGTTTACTCCATCGTCACATTCTGCACGCACAATCTTGATGGTTTCTGCTGAGTGACGCAGAGGATGGGATGGCTGGAACACTTTATCTTTCAGCATTGTGTGCAAATCTCTACGATAAAATGAACCACGGGTATTGTCGGGAATGTCAACCATAAGACAAACTGAAAGGATGATTCCACATACATGATAGTCATGATCCAGGGAAAGAAGTCTACTACCTGTGCTGCTCACCAGTCCTCCATTGTGAGATCTATTGACGGCACCAACTGGCCTCCCTGGTTCCCCCAGAGGAACAATTGCCTTGTCATCTAAGCACTGGAAATAAGAATGGTCTCTCCATTTTACAGCAAAAGATTTAAGGATAGTGTACTGGTTAAAGGCAAAGTCTGCATCTTCATGCTGCACACGTAAAAGGCGTTGCTGTACTGCATGCTTAACTTGAAATTCCCCTGTATATTGTGTAGCTGATTTTCTGTATGGATTTGATGGATAGAAATTGAGTCTGATCCATGTTTCAGATGGTGCAACAGAATTAGGAGGCATTCTGGCTAGAATTTGCTCCTTAAAATCACGAACAGATATGGCAAAAGGCATATATGATATTTCACCATGTCTTCGATCGTCGACCACACTCTTCTCTTGTAAATACTTCTTTACCTCAGCCCAAAAAGGTTCGAACGTTTTATCCTCAATTTTTCCATTGTTTTTTCTCAGGTCAAGAATCAATTTTGGATCATCAGAATCAAGAAGAAACTTTGACACTCTCAGGTCTACAGATTCCTCAGACGAGTTTGTGGGTGCAAATGTATTTCCAGTGAGAAATCTATACATAGACCTAAGAACTGCTGGTTTTTCAGACACTGTGTTTACATATTTCTCCATAAAATCTTTTCTCATGGCCCTTGTTGCATATACTGGTATTTTCTTTTTAATGTCAGGCATAAGTTGTATATCATGAGCACTATCTCTGTCAGGCATAGGGGGTTGTTTCCACACAACATTTAAATTTCCAAGATAATTACCATATTGGTAGGTAAATATTCCAAATGCACATGTCAGTTTCATTTTTTCAAGCCAATTTCTTCTGTCGTAAATATTCCAAATGCACATGTCAGTTTCATTTTTTCAAGCCAATTTCTTCTGTCGTATCTATCTACTGGTTCAAAATTAAGGAGATCTACTGGACAATACACATCAGAATTCTGCAGTGCCAAGTCAATATTAGCATGCATCTTGTCAGGAGTACTTGTGCAAGTCTCTACAATTCTGAAACTCCAGTTATCTGTAAGTGATCGTATTGGTTCGGATGCCTTGTGGACTGCATTTGACCGTTTCTTTTGATTCTCAAGGAAAGTATGATATTTGTGAAGAGCTTGCAGCAGAGCGTCAAGTACATCCTTAAATGTTTTAAACTTGGTGTTTAAAAACCATGGCAGCATCAGCAGTGAGGATAATCTTTCAATATTTGTCTTCATTTCCTCTGAACATATCTAAAAATAA